AGTAAGATTATTTTGCACTTTAATTTTCAGAAGTTGAATCATAGTAGCAAGTTCAGGAGATATAAAGAGTATATTTTCTAATATTTAATTATATATAAATAAATAAAATTGCTATAAATAAATAAAATTGCTATAAATAAATAAAGTTGCATACTAGTAGATATTATAATGTAGTATATTACTTTCAATATCCATATTACTTGTATTTGTAATAGTTGACTTATTACTATCATTTTCTGACTCATTATTAGAATTTTCATACTCAAGCCTGCTCATATACTCATCACTACCCTCTAAACTATTTCCTAATTCATTATAGTTCTCAAATTTGCTTCTACTCATTAAACTATTCTCTGATTCATTATTGTCTTCAAATTCATTTCCACACTCTAAACTATTCTTCTATTTATCATTGTCCTTAAATTTATTTTTACTCTATAAACTTTTCTCCTATTTATCATTGTCCTCAAATTTATTTCTATTTCATAAACTATTCTCCAATTCAACATTGTTCTCAAATTCATTTTTGCGTTCCAAACTATTCTCTAATTTATCATTGTTCTCAACTTCATTTTCACTTTCCAGACTATTCATCAATTCATCACTATCATTAAATTTATTTCTGTGTTCCAAGCTATTTACTGATTCATCACAATCTTTTAATTTATCTCCACTTTTTAATTTATATACCAATTCATTTTCATGCCCTGAACTATTTTCTAATTCAAACCCACTTCCAAATTTATCTACTTTTAAATTATTATCAAAGTCACTATAATTTTCTAAATTATTCTTATAATCTTGATAGGCTTGCAAAGATTCTTCTAAATTTAAATTAAACTCAACTGAATTTTGATAAAAATTATTGTCTATAGCTGAAATTTGAATGTTACTTTGTAATGTTGAATCATTACTAGAACTTCAGATATTTCGTTTATTACATCGTCAATGCCTAGTTTTAGCACTTTTTGATATCTATAAATCATCATTATTATTTAATGATCACAAATGACAAGTACACCACATCAACATTTAGAAATTATATTGATAATTTTTTTTTTAAAAAAAATATCAATAAAATAAATAAATATATATATATTTTTTGATTTAATTAGTCACATATTAAAATGTTCAGAATTATATGTTTATGCTTCTATTTTGTAGCAAGAATGTTTGGGTTTCAGACTTTTTTTAAATAA